AAACCAAGTTTATTGATCAACATTCAAGACCAGTCTTAAATAGTATGCCTTTTATTACTAATCCCCCAACTTGGCTTCCCAGGTGGTGCAATGGTAAAGAATCTGACTGCCAATGTAGGAGACCCAAGAGATGCGGGTTCTATCTCTGGGTTGGGAAGATTCCCTGGAGAAGGAAATGAAACCCCACTCCAGTATTTCTTGCCTGGAAAGTTCCATGGACAGAGGAGCCCAGTGGGCTATACCCCATGAGGTTGCAAAGAGTCAGACTGAGCATGTATGCACACACAACTTGTAAACTCTCCCCTTCTTCAAAATCCCAAGAATACTTTGCTTATAAGAATACTATCAAAAAAAAAAAAAAGAATATCATTTATATCACTAGGCTTCCCTGGTGGCTCAGTTGGCAAAGAATCTGCCTGCAATGCAGGAGACCCAGGTTCAATCTCTGGGTTGGGAAGATCCCCTGGAGAAGGAAATGGCAACCCACTCCAGTACTCTTGCCTGGAGAATCTCATGGACAGAGGGGCCGGGCAGGCTACAGTCTGTAGAACTGTGAAGAGTTGGACACAACTGTGTGACTTTCACTTCACTTTACACCACTAATTACATACCAGATACTTGTTTAATTCCCACAACAAACATGCAAGATAACCATGCTTGTTACCATTTTGCAGGTCAGAAAAAAACCAGTCTGAAGGTTAGGTATTCATGTGACTCACAGGCCTAGTGAGTAGAGAAGTCAGATTTAAACCTAAATCTGACCCTCAGGAGACAGAGCTTCACTGTCACTAAGCTACACTGCCTCACTGCATCTTGCTGCATATAGCATGCTGTTCATTTGCTGTTATTTCTCGAGGACTTTCTATGTGCTGGGCACTATTCTAAGCATTTTATACAAATTAGCTTATTTAATTCCCATAACAACTCTGTAAGGTAGGTAGTACTGCTGTCCCATTTTACAGATAAAGAAATCGGGCAGAGAGAGCTTAAGTCCAAGGTCACTGCCCAGACAGCCCGACTACAGAATCTGTTCTCTTAACCACACACTGGGCTGCTTTTCATCTGCTTCCTCAGTTAAGCAGGCAACTCCCAGAGCAGTGTCTTCTCGTCTGACTCACCTACAGCCCCCAACAGAAAGTTTGTCACAAAGGAGGCCTTGACAACAACCTGCTGAATTAAACTGCCAACAAACCTACCAAATACACATGAGACCCAGGCATCTGTCTTCCTATTAACACACGCATCACCGCTGGTTTCATTTCTCTCCCAAGAGAGATACACACCACACACTTGACATGCCATCGTGTGCCTCTGCGCCCCTGCTCCACTCGAGGTATTCCACACATACCGGCACCCTCTTCTTCTTTGATCACTCTTCAGCTCTTTCTCCCCACACATGAATGACATGAGGAGGAATTCCCATGAAAATCAATGCAAAATCCCAGTCTACTTGATCCCCACTTTGGCAGACAGTCAGCAGGAATACACACACTCAGTGACTCATACTTAGCCCTGTCTTCAGTCACCTGTGGCCAGAACCCCAGAGAACAGAAGCCGATTTCCTAGCATGGAAGTTCTCAGTCAATGGGCCGGCCCAGACCCAGGAAGGCGGGAGGATTGGGGGTGGGGGGTGTCCAAAGGATCCACCAACTAGCTGAAGGCAGATTGGTATGTCTTACATATAAAGCTAAAACTATTTTTCCTGATGTATATTTGATTAACCACAATGGCAAATATAGCATCAAAGCCATGTAAAACTTTCCTGAATTCATAGTAGCTTTGAGTCATCTATTTTCACAATAAACAAATATAAAAATAACTACTATTTGGAAGGGGTAATGTGAATTACTGACTTTTAAAAGTGTCTTCAATCTCAGAAAAAGTTGGGGATCACTCAAAACAGATAAGAATGAAGTAACTGTAATTTCCAGGGAGGCTTGAAGACTCGGGCCCTGATCAGGAGCCAGACCTGTTCCCCTTAAAATCTTCCAACCCCAAACCCAATACCCACGGGGAAGCAGCTCATTCCTTTCCTCCTTGGCTGGGTGAGAATGTACTAAAAGAAGTGTAATGAGCACAGGATATTACAAAACCTACCCAGGAAATAAGGAACAAATGTAAAGGGAGGGAACGAGGTCATGGGTGGGAGGAGAAGCAGGAGAGCTGTCACTGTGCCTGTCATCGCTAGATGTAATCAGAGTTTATTAGCGTTGATAACCACCATGCCCACAATACATATCTGAAAACATACACATACATAGTTCCACATACACATACAGCCTTCCCAAAGCCTTATTCTATCAAATACTTGTTAACATCTATTCAGTCATCGAAGAGATGTTTATCAAACACCCACTAAGTGCCAAATACCACACTAGGTGCAGGGAATTCAGAGATGAATATCTCTACCTTTTTACCCCAGACAGAGCACAACTCCCTCAATGGATATCTCGCGTGCACACACACACACACACACACAATGGGTTAGATATGCAGCTGCCTCTCCCAGCTCCAACAGAGCTGTCACAACATTTAACTGATACACATTCAACATACATACACATGCTACAACCACCCCATCACACACAGGTACCCAAATACATCTCAGACACACAACCACACAATGCACATTCCAAAGCACACATCTTGTAAGGCTCACTAGGGGCCTCCAGCCGATGAATCCTTTCAGAGAATGAATAAAAGGACTCTGGCTGTATTTTTCATACACCCAGGCCAGTTCTGCCACAGTGAGATCATGGGCCAGTGGCTTCTCTGTAGCTCAAATTTCCCTTCCATCAAGTCAGAGGGGTGTGGTTCAGGGACTCCCCTGGCGGTGCAGTGGCTAAGACTCTGAGCTTCCGCTGCAGCAGGCTCAGGTTCAATCCCTGGTTGGGGAATGAAGATCCCACATGCTGCTGCATGATGCAGCCAAAAAAACAATCTCTAAAAAAATAATTTTTAAAAAAATAGCATGGTTCATGCTATTTTCTTAAGAAGGCTTGGAGGGGAGAGATCACAGGGACCAGAGAATCAAGTTAAAGGTCATGAAAGATTCCTCATAAAGTCCAGGGTCTTACTGAGGTCTCCCATGAAAACACACGTACATGGATACCTACACATGCAACCACACCCTTACACTCACATCCTACTCACTCTACTAGGCACGGGACTTTATTTGCCAACAGACCATTCGCACATGATATTCACACTGCCAGACTCCCGCACCTCTGCATGCAAGCAAACACACACAGACACACAATTTCACAGTTTAGGGAGCACCTGCACTCCTTGGAGAAAAGGCGAGAAGGTGCCAGATTGACTTAATACACACAGTTCCTGAAGATACATCCCGCCACCTTGTACAAATAACTCCCAAGAGCCACTGAAAACCTCCCTTATGCATTCCTCTACCACAACTGCAGACACACAGTCAAAATACTGGGCAAAGTACAGGACTTCACCTGCAAACATGGCTACTCCTGTGGCTATCCCCAGGTCCTGGCCAAGAGGACACTACCCGCAAAGCAGTCCCAGGGGCACACTAGTCTGTGGGCACACACACTCCTCAAAGACCCTACCTCTTGAGGGCAGAGACACCCACAACTGCTAAGCAGCCCACGGCTCCTAGGGGGACTGAAGGAGAGGGCTGCACACCTCCGCTCCAAACAGCTGCCACACCCCAGGGAGGAAGGAGGTGCCTATGCCCCGGCTCCAAACTGATGCGGAACCTCTCCCGGACTCCCCAGCCAGACCAAAGTACAACAGGGGCCTCAAAATCCCTCCCTTGCCCACTCCCGTAAAACCTCACCCCACCCCAGGCCTGGCGCAGCCACCGTCGACCTTGTCCCCCCACCTTGCTCATCAAGGCCTCTCGCATCCCGGGTACTGGATGCAACCTTCCTTTAACCTCCTCTTCAAGTCCTGATTTCATACCCAGTTCCAGAGTCCTCACCAGTCCTCTCCAGCCCCCTAATCTCCCTTCCAAACCCCACGCTTGCGAGGGCTCCGATGGTCAAAACCAGCCTCCGCTTGCAGTCTCTCACCCGGGAGAGACGACCAGCCACTTTTTTTCCCCCCTTATCAAAACCGGCGACTCTAGTCACCAACCCTGAGAGGCCTCAGCCACCCTCTCCCTCGAGCTTCATTCACTCTGGAAGCACTCGCTTCCCGCCCTCCTGGCGCGTGCAGTCACAGCCTCAAAATCACCACCCACCCTCGCACGCGCCGTGGGCTCTTCTCCCCGCGCCCAAAGGTCTCCCGCCCGGGCCTTCAGGGGCAGGTCCAGTCGGGGTCTCTCACGCAGAGCTTCCCGCCGGCGCGCGGACCCTTAGGCTGTGGCCCCGCCCAGCCGGGCCGACCACGCCCCCGCCTCCTAGGCCCCGCCCGGCCCGACCCTCCCAACAGCGCTCGAAGGCCCCGGCCCCCTCACTCTCACTCTCACAGCCCTACCCAGCACCAGGAGGTTACAAGCCCCACACAGCCTTCAGGACTCTCTCACTGCACCGCCCCCAAAACCACCGTCCCCGCCCACAAAGCCCCACCCTGCCGCACATAGGCCCCGCCCACACAGAGCTCTTCCACCTGCCCTCGCGGGCGCCTCACAGTCGCTCACACACCCGACCCACACGCCCTCAAGGGCCTGACCTTCATCTTCTCGCGAGCTAGCGCTCACTACACAGTCCTACCCACAGGTCGCCACGGAACCCTCCCTCGGGTTAGGGAGAGGCGCCCCGGATGGGCTCACGAGGCCGCGCCGACACAGGCCACGCCCACACAGGCCGCGCCCACACCGGACCTGCCGGCAGGTCACGCCCACCTAGGGCACCCGGCCGCCTGTCCTGCTCCCTGGCTGACTACGTGCGCCCTCTCCTTGAGACAGGGGTCCTCACACGCCCCTCACAGCTCTCGTGCTGGTACACACACTCGCCCTTGTGCCGGAGCCCGCGGACCGCAGGTGCCCCCCACAGGCCCGGATCCCGGGCAACCCTCCTGCCCCTCACTCCCGTGCCCAGGAGCCCAGCGGCGGCTCCCCCGGGCTCACCTTCGCTGCAGAACTTGCCACCGAAGCCCGTGTGGCTGCAGTCGCAGCCCACCTCGCCGGGGGCCAGCACAGTGCAGAGGCCGCCGTTGGCACAGGGGTTGCGCGCGGGGGCGCACAGGGGGTCGGCGGCAGCGCCGCGCAGGCCCTGGCTGCCCAGCAGCGCGGGGGGCCGCTCGCCCAGCTTCAGGTTGGCCAGGAGGCCGCGGAAGGGCGGCTCGTACTTGACGGTGCTGAGCGTGAGCGCCGAGAGTCGCACGTCGGGTGGGATGCCTCCCACGAACAGGTCGCTGGCCACCTGCATCTCGCGCCGCTTCGAGCGCACCTCGGCGGCGCGGGCCTCGCCGTCCACCGACAGGGCGGTACGGCGCGCGTCGCGGGTCAGCAGCACCATGTGCCAGCGGTCGTCGGCCACCGGCGTGTCCAGCTGCAGCGTGGCGGGCTCGGCGCACGAGAGCGTGAAGCGCAACCGCAGGCGCCCGTCCACCAGCAGTAGCTCCAGGAAGTCGCAGTCGCCGCCGTCGTCCAGGTAGAGCAGCAGCGCGCGCGTGGCGTTGGTGCGTAGGCTGAAGCTGAGCTCGCCGCTGCTCGCCGCGCCGGCCCATCGCGCGTAGCGCGCCCACTGCCCGGGGCCGCCGCCAAACTCCAGGCCGCCCGCACCTGCCGCGAGCGTCAGCAGCAGCAGCAGAGGCAGCGACGGCGGCCGCCACCGGTTCCCGGGCGCCATGCCTCCGGCGGCCCCGGCCCCGCCCGGCCCCCGGCCCCGCTCAGGCTTCAGAGCCGCGGGCGCATGGGGCAGGGAGGGGCCCGGGCGCCCCCCGCGCCGAGCGGGGCTCCTTCGCCGGCTCACAGTGCCATGGACCCGGCCGCAGGGCGAGACGCGCAGAGGCCCAGATGCCGGCTTCCCCCGAGCGGCGGCAGAGGCGCCCCTCCCCCGTTGCGGGCTCCGACAGAAGATGGGGGAGGGAGGCCTGCGGGGAAACGGAGAGGAAAGGGTTACTGAGGAGCTCGCAGGAGGGGACGCGTCGTCGGTGTCTGGCTCCCCGTTCACACTCGCAGAAGCTCAACTGTTTCCCTTTAGAACTGGAGGAGCCACCTTGACCTGGAGAGGGTCTCACCACCAGGATGGGAATACACAAGACCCAGTATTTGGGGGTGAGGGAAGGGGCGGAGATAACACTCTCTAGGGGCATCATCTAGGGTTTAAGAGGTAGACAGGTAGGGAGGTGACACCTTAGAGTCCACTAAGACCCCAGTCCAGATGTCCTCACCCTCGCCTCCCATCAGGACCAGGGCCAGCTCCTTTGGGCGAGGCCTAGAGACTCCTCCAGCTGCTGACCACAGCCCCTTCCTCTTTGAGCCACCCAACCTCTGTGCATGGTCCCACTACCTGCCATGGGCTCTCTCTCATCAGTTCCTGATGCTGGATAATGAAGTTGCTAAATAATTCATTGGGATTAATTAAATGCCAATTCATCGATGGTATCCCTGGGTAACCTGGCTGGGAAGGAGGCAAGGGAGAGAAGCCAGCCAGGACCCAGACTTCCAGGCCCCAAGCCCTCTCCTTCCATGCAAGGACTCAGGCACCTGATTCTGTGTCTACAATTACCCCAAAACCACACTCACCCCCTTTCTGGGACCCAACCCCCTGCTCACCAGCCCAGGTCCTTCCTGAACCTAAATGTCTGTCGCCATCAAGCTTCAGCTCCCAGTCTTCAGCCTGGGACCTAGGCTGATACTTGGGCCTTCACTTCACCCCTGGGTTCCAGCCTCCTACCCATCCAGGGCTGGGGGAGCCACCAGGAGGCAGGCAGCCTAATTTGCATAAAATTGTCTTTCTGAAATGATTACCCTTGTAACTGGCTGTCAGAGAGCAATTTATACCCCACAACGGGGAGGGGAATTTGCATCTCGTTAAACTCCAAGTCGTAATTATTTATATCCAACAACCCTCCTGAATATTGCATTGATTTTATTTTGGGGAGGGAGGAAGGGAAAGAGGTGGGGTGAAGTCTGAGAGAGAAGCAGAGAAAGGCCAGAGTTTAGGAAGAGACAGAGAAAGATTGAAGGGGTAGGGGAAGAGGAAAAAGAAATCGCATGGAAGAGAAGAATAATGGATGAGACAGAAGGTCTGATGGGGAGAAAAAAGAGCAGGAAGATAGAGAAAATTAAATTCCAAATTCCAACAGCATTTGTCAACACCCTGGATGCTGAGCAGTTTTACAAATGTCATTTTACTTAATCAGTCTGAGAGGTCCCATTATTCCCATTAACCACTAGGGAATCCCACATATTAAAGTCTAGAGACTTGCCCAAGGCCGCACAGCCAGTCAGAGGGGAACTGAGACTTAGATCCATGTGTCTCTAACTCCAGCATGACAAAGGGCAGGGCAGCTACAGGTGTAGTTCAGAGAGGTGTGAGCCAAAAGAAGAGAAGACGATCCTTGGATAGAGAGGAGGTTGGATGGAGGTGTTTCCTCCCTCCATGGGAGGAAGCTAGGGGTGTGAAGGGAGAGAGAGAGCTAAGGCCCCCCCTAAAAAATCAGGTGAAAGGTGAGCAGAGAGTTGGGGGACAGGATGGTTGGAGTGATATGCATGCAGAAAGAAGATGGGGCAGAGAAGGCCCCAGGAGGCTGGCAGTAGAGTGTAAGGAGTCACCTCCAAGAGACCCTCAAATCCAGCTCTCAGGTCCTTCCATCCGGCTCCTCTGACTCCCCCTGCCCAACCCTACAGCCTGCAAGAGGGTCTCTACAGTCCTGCCCAGCCCCTCCAAGGGCTGCCCCTTCCCAGCCAAGAAGGGAGGCAGTCCAGGCAGGCAACACCCTGTCTCCAAACACTGTCGCCGGTTATATATAGCTTTGCCACTGCCTCTCCTCATTGGGTAATAGAGATAATTAACATGCGCGGGCTAATTAGCCAATCAAATTAAATGCAGCACCTGCTCCTAGCCTGATTGACGCCCTTACCCCCTCAACACACACACACACACACACCCTCACCCCAGTCTAGGGCAGGGGAAAGGGACCCTCAGGCTTGGGGGAGGGAAAGACCAAACCCCCTCTTCTTCAGAAGGAGCAGCCAGAGATCCCCCAGAAGAGGCGCACCTCCAGACGCCAGAGAATGGCATCCTCCCGCTGCCCCCCGCAACAGAGTCTCAGTCTAGCCTGGCCTCTCTCCCAGCCCCCACCCCACTTCCGGACACTATTTTGGGGAGGGAATTAATTAGCTATTGATTTCTGCTGGCAGAAGGAATAGGATTTCGTGCTGCTGTCCAGTCACCCTTCGGCCGGGGGAAAAGGAGGGGTATTCGTCCCGGCGCTGCCCCCCCTCCCCCCGACCCAGTGCCTCTGTCTGCTCACATCCCCCACCCTCTGCAGGGAGGGTCCCTGCTGACAGAGCCTAGGGACAGGGTCTCCCTGGTTCAAGAAGTTGGCGGAGGGCAGACAGTGAAGGATGGCGGAGGAGGCCTCCAGGGGCTGGAAGGCAGCTGCCCGGGTCCTAAAGATGAGAGGAATTTTACCTGTTTGGGGGATGGAAGTGGCGGTGGCAAAGTGATTAAGAGTCCAGAAGATGACTCTAGGGGTCTTTGTGTGCCCAGATGGGGAGGGAGAGTGTGGCAAGGGAGCGGGTGCTGTGGGCAGGCAGGTGCCTGGCAGTGGCTGTGGGGGCAGAACCCGGGCTTCTGCGGTGACCCCGGGAGGGGCTGGGGCAGGGGCCGGGCCTGCGGCCCCTCAAGGCTCATTACTCATTCTCCCCACAGCCCGCAGCTCTGCAGCACGGACCAGCCTGGCTCAGCGCCGGGGCCCAGGGGCTGCAGGGCTGGCCGGGAGGAAGCCCCCACCCTCCCTGTGTCCTCTCTCCAGAGACCACTGGGGCAGCTTCAGGCTTGCCAGGCAAAGATAACCCCAAGAGAAGCGTGAGCTAAGTGGACACCTGAGTCCTTCCACCCCACCCCATCCTAGAGCACCCAGGAAACCTGCTGCTCTTCACCACCCCTGTGCCCTCCTTTCAGCCTCCTCCAGTCCAGGACCAAGCTTCTTCCTCCCCGGACACAGGGGCTTCCTGCTAACCTAGGATATTCTGTCCTTCCTCAACTCCTGGCATGCAGCTCTGCTCCCTGTGGGCCAGGGCCTCGCACAGCTACTTCAAGTAAACGGTCCCTGGAGTTGAGCACGGCCCCTCCCCCACGCTCATGCCTCACAGTAGAAGCCCCCCAGCACCCGCAGTGTCCAGGCTCTGCTCCCCAAGATCTATGCTTCTCCAGTGCCCACTGCCAGCGTGGAGACACTGGCCGAAGCAGACTTGGGATATCCTGCCTGCCGAGTGACATCAGTGTAGCATACACTGCCAGCCACTGCTGGCCCAGGGCCACTGCTCCTCCAAGGAACAGACCTCTCCCCTGCCATCAGGGATTCTTCCCCCCAGTCAGCTCCTTAGCACCCCCTACCCACGGGTGGACTCTGCAGCCTTGAGTCAGCGGTGATAGGAGCTAGACGGGGTGGGGGTGGGGTGACTCAGCGGCTCTCAGGACCTCAGCCCACCCTCAGTCCTACAGAATCCTGTCCCACAGATTCTTTCTGGGCCCTGACAGCCTCCTCCTCATCTTCCCACAACTAGACCAGTGCCAGCATGACATCTGGGCTGTGACTCGGGGGCTTTCCAGTGCTCATCAGGTGCCAGGCTGGATCACCACAGCATTGTCTTATATATCCTCCCGTGCTAGGAGGCAGTTTGTCACCCCAGGCTTGAAGACAGGGACCCTGAGCTTCAAATGACGGATTCATTTCCCCAAGTTCAAGAGCAGGTGAGGGTCAGCTGGCTCCAACACCTGTGGCCTTTCTTCTGCCCTGCACCAGCCACAGGCCACAGGGCGGTGTCAGGCTCAGAGAGCTCACCCTTCTCTGACCTGACCTTCGCTGGGGCCCTGCCCTCTTCAGACAACCCAGACTCTGAGTCTGGGGGGCACCAAAAGACAGACCACAGAGCTCGAAGAGTTCATCCCTCAAGTCCCAGAGAGGAGCAACGACAGCCCTAGGGCCATGGAGGAGAGCAAGACTAAAATGAAGGTCGCTGGACTTCCATTCTAAACGCTTCCCATGTACCCACTATTCCACTCCTGGGCCTTCCAGTCTGACCAAAGTCCTCCGCCCCCACACCAGGAGCACAGACTGAATGATCGGATGTGAATTTCAGGGTTAGATTGTCCACATCCACTCCGGCAGAGCCCCTGTCTATAGGTCTTCTCCAGGCATCCACTGGGTCCCGTCTCTGATGTCTACACCACACACACACACACACACACACACACACACACACCTCCAGCCATGGGAACGCCAGCCTCTCTCTGGCTCTCCTCTCTCTCGCGCCAGCTGGGAGTGTGACAGCAGGGGCCTCCCCCAGGCATCAGGGAGGAAGAGCTGGGTTTACACACATTCTGGTGGCCCCAGAAGGCAGCCTGTGGACAGGTGGGAGAGTATGTGTTATGGGGAGGGAATTTTTGGCTCAAGCTAAAGAGAAACTTGCCGGCAATCTAGGGCAGCCAACAGTGGAGTAGGCTGCCTCCGGTCGGGGGGAGGGGTGAGTTCCCCGTCTGTGGAGGTGTGTGAGCTGAGGAAGGATGACTACCGCTCAGAGGTGTTCAGCGGGGGGCTCCTGAATCACAGGGGAGGGGGCATCAGACAGCTCCAGCTCTGAGGGCCCTTTCAGTGGTAGAAGGTGTTTTTTGGA